ATCTACAAGGTCCCTTCTAACCCTACATCTATGAATCTATAAGCAAGTAACATGGATAAGAGATAATTCTGCCCTGGTGGGACACAACTTTGAGCAGCATAACAAACATTTAAGACTAGTTTCAGGTGTTAATTCATAGATTCAAAGATTGTAGATTCGGAAGGGACCACAATGGATCATCGTGTCTGACCCCCTGCCCCTGGCTTGTGTGAAGAGCTCCGCGTCACCCAAAATTACCACGTAACAAAGCCCTTAGTCTATAAGGTGTGAATCTACCCTGACTTCTGCCTCACTACCAGTAAGCTCATGTTGATTGTCTCCCTAAAAATATGAGCTTGAGCTTTAAGCATGTGGGCAAAAGTAATGCTTATATTTTCAATACACTTTACACAGAAAAACAGAGCCACTGCCCAATGCACACTTAATAGAACAGAATGGCTATCAACTCCATATTCAATATGAAGTGAATTAACCCATTAACTGTTCCTCACCCTCTGTCCTGCACTCTTGAAGCCAGTCCTGCCCTGTAAGTTTCACCCCACATGCACGTCTCTATGCAGCTTTCCAGGGAAAGTCCTTTTAAAACTGCAACACGAGGCAGAGAATGTGGGAGGTCCCAAAGCAACTAGCTCCTGGTATGAAGAAGCAGGGACGCCCAAGCCTCCACGCACACAGCTAGTTACCCTCTGTCTTGTTACCACCACATGCAGTTAGGTAGCATGCAAGCGAGTACAGGCACGGGCTATGCAGGTGAGGCATTCAGAAAAACTACGACATGAACCGTGAGTTGGGTGGAGAGCAGCAGTGGGCAACCCAGAAGCTGGAAACACCTGGCAACCTCTCTAACCCTTTGCTATACCCCTCTCAATTGAGCCTGAGACACTACTACCCAAGATCAGTAGCAGAGAGGCTAAACTGACACGGTAACTTTCCAGGTCAGCAGTCAGAAAAGCTGGGAAGTTCTTGGTGGGGGGGGGCAGACCCCTGGGATCCACATAGGCCCCCAACACCTGACAACCCCTCTAGAGGAAACCCAGAGAAATTCTGGGCACTGAAACCCAAAACACATAACTGTCTGGGTACTCTACCACCTCTTGGCAGCTTTCTGGCAGCAATCCAAGCCCTAAGAAGTGAGGATTATACTTAGAGCCCTTAGCAGTGTATGTGTCCAGGGACAATTATGAGCCGATTCCCCATCAGTTACACACTTGGAAATATTCAAGTGTTATGTCTGTCCACACCATCAGGTCAGTCAGGACAACTTGTGGGTGAGAGAGGTCAGCATTACAGCTCAATTCCTTCACACAGAAGCAGTCATTCTGGGAATAAGGAAACCTGTCTCAGAATCAGAGAGACAGCCAGGTTCTGGGTAGGTATGGTATACTGTTTAGTGCAGATGTTAAACATCAGAGGCATGGTGAAGCACTGAACACAGAATGCTGATGCAATACACATGCAAACACAAGAGCATGCCCTGGATGCAATCTGATGCCACTGTATGAGGCAACAGCAGAAGTGTGCTATGAAAAATAGGTGGAATTGGGCCTCAGCTATGCTGGCCCTGTATGCCAGGCTTGGACCCATAGATCAGTGAGTGAAATGTGCCAACAACTTTAATCTGGAAAAAAAAAGCATGCCCCAGCTATCAAAAGTTTGGAAAACAATGTGCAAAAATTTGATCAGCACCCTTCTTTGTATCTGCAGACAGCTGCAAAAGAGAATCAACGATACTTCAAAATGAGAATCTGATCAGGCATCAGAGATGTTACTAAAGCCTCATGACTACACTACCAGTAGAATTAGACTGATAACAAAAGTCCAGTTCAAAACAGAATTCTTAAGTGCTAGGAAAGCACGATCAGTCTACCTGTAGGCATTTTTACAAAGCAACTAATTGCTGTGGAGAATCCAAACAGCAGTATTTTATCCTGGGAGTGGGTGGGCTTACTGACAAAACTTAGAAACTTCTGTGAGTAGAATGAATAGCTATACAGAAGTATTCATTATGTAAGCCAGGCATCATGATGAACCAACGTTGAGCCTGGAGAAAAAGAACACTAGAAACAAGTGTTGCCAACTTGAATTTAAGCTCATGGATTTATTTTCTGGTCTCCCCCAGCCTCAGGTAGATTAGAGACTTTTTTTTAAATATGGGCCAAGGAAATGTCAATATTCTCAGGTATTTCCACACCACCTGCTCTTCAGCTCCCAGAAGAAACCAAGCTACTTTCACAGATAAAAAGGCTTTTCTCAAAAGAGACAGGAGAAGAGGCAGTAATTAACAGAACTGTTCAGACCAGCTCTGGGCAATGAGATCCAGTCCCCCATTTTTCAACTATGGAAGCTGCCAAAAGCCAAATGGAACATGACAAAGCAGATCCCAAAAGGTAGGTGTAGATCTCCCTTTAAGCTCCCAACTGGCTCTGTTGTAACTCTCAAAACTTTTGTCAAGTTGACTGCCTCTGAAAGGCCATGAGACAGGTATCTCCTAGAATGCCTGGGCTTCTTTTATAGCCAATACATCCTCATCCATTTTGAGGTTGATACTTTTAAGACTTCAGTGTCTGGAGTCAATATTTAACTCCCTAGAAATGTTTGGTGTAGCTCTTAAGTTCTTCAGAACAGGTAGCTTCTTCATTTGTCTGCCAATCAAAGAATTCCGTCTTTTTAAGTGAATAAGTACTCTACCATGCTCTGTAGTTTACACGGTATGTCCATCACAGAATAACAGCCTTGGCCATTGTAGCAGGGCACTAAAATGCACCTGCTCCTTTAAGGCTGAAGCAGCCCAGCCAGCAGAGCTCCCCAGCTGCGGGTTGCCATAGTAACAGCTTAAGAAGGTAATTGGGTAACACCCGCAGGAGTCACATGACCAGGAGGCAGGGTTTTGGGACATATATGCTTAGGGCTGAAGACAGCAAGGCACTCTCTCTCTCTGGCAACCACCAGAGAAAGACCCCCTGCATGTGAAAGCTGCCTAAGAACCAGTGCTGCCTGCTTTGCTACTCAAGTGCTGAGAGACTTCAGGAACCTCCCAGGTATTTAAGCTATGTGGCATGCTGTATTAAGGGTGTACATTTGACCCCTAATGGGGGCATAGCACTGTTGCTATTGATAATACTTACATTATAGCCTAGAGGCTTTTGTTTGTGTTTCTGTTTACACCAGATGACTGGGATTTGGCTATACGGGGAGGTTCGGAGGTCTCATTAGTGCCCGGAGAAAAAGTCCCAGATTTTGGGTAGAGTTAGGGACAGACAGAGAGAGAGAGATACTATGGAGTTGCGGACAGCCCTAGTGCTAGAAAGGCACGGATCCAAGGGTGCAGCCTTACAGCCAGAGAGGCTCAGATACGAGGGTGCAGAAAGCCCTAGCATCAGAGGGACTCGGAAACAAAGGTGCACAAAGCCCTAGAGCCAGAGAAGCACAGATACGAGGGTGCAGAGAATCTAGTGCCAGCAAGGCGAGGATACAGGGGTGTAGAGTCCAGCATCAGAGAGGCACAGAAGTGATAGATGGTAGTAACATCTGTGAGGCTTGGGACACAAAAAGGGGAAGTAGGAGTCATGTATAAACCCTAGACATTGGGATATTAAAGGGGTAGCCTCTTGCCTAGAAATAACTTATTCACTACATCAAAGACATGACAGGCAAGATAGGTGGGCACACTACCCAAACATGTGAGCAGTCCGTTGCGTTGAGAGAGACACCTGTTACAGCCATCAACCTTACAACAACTAGCATCAACATTCATGACCATCCGCCTTTTCCTGGTACTTCTTATTTCATCCCTGGAATCCAGCAGAATTTTTTTTAAAGGATGGGGATAGCTTTGCCCTAGATCAGTTAAAATTGTACTTAACAATTCATCACCTGAAGCTGTGACAAGGCTGATAATCATGCCTTTCATCAAAATAGATCCAATTTCTTTGTCCTTATGCATGCTCATACTGGGCTCAAACTCCTCTTGCATTTAAAGACCTTGACTTAGGTAGGCATCAAGATACTCAAAACCTTTTGGCAGCACCCAATACCTTTGTCTATGTGCTTTGAGGTGGGAGGAAGGGTATTTGTGTTTTGCCATAGTCCTGTGACTAGTTCTGGGAATTCTGACCAGTATCTCTGTAGCTTGAGACAGGAAAACCTGAAAGGCTCAAAATATCCTCTACCATCAGGTTTAGTGCAGGTGTTATTATTATCTCCTGCAGTAAAGAACATTCCTCGGAAGACGACTGTAAAGGAACAACAACAACCCTCATATTTTCTGTTCTGGTCTTGTCAGCCTACAGCCAGCGGAGGGGGTCTAGCTAGGGAGGTTGTCAGGGAGCTTTATCTTCTTTTACTGATTGTGCAGAAGTAAGATTACACAAGGAAAGTGTCTGCGGTAAGGTTAAGAGGGCCCACGTGATGCATCTGGCTGAGACTGGAGCTCCCACTACCATTCCAAAACTAGGTGGGACAGAACTCTGAATGGGGCCTCTACACTACGTTCACTGGCTCGCTAATCCTGATGGTAGAGGATGCCTGAACAGTAGATGGAATGGAACTGGGTTGATGTCAGTAAGAAGGTGGAAATGGTGAGGAATATATTTCCTCATTGAGAGGTGGCAAAGAATCAGGACCAGCCACACCTCTGCAAAAGATACAAATGCCTCTATGGCCTACTAACTGCTGCTCGACTCCATCATGGGTATAGGTACCAAATCAATGCCAGGCTTCTTGTTTTACCTGAACTTACAGTTAGGCTCTCACATCCTAAAACAGCACAAGAAACCATGCAGGGCTGGGCACCTATGATCTTAACAGCAAATATAAACAGTTTTTCCACACAGTCTTTCCACTGTTTCAGATCTCAATCTGTTACCAATAAAATAACTTTGACACAAATTCAACATTACCGTTTGGCATTCAGAAAAAAGCGAACGAAGTGAGTCATAACAAATAAAACAGTTTTCTATGAAATAGGCCCCTTCTCAGCAAGAGCCAGTTAAGATTCCTAATCATTAACTAAGTAAACTGAAATTACTTAAAAGCCAAGTTAACACAAACAACTGAAAATCCACTCATCATTTGCAATAGCTTAGGCAAATGTTTTCATGATAATGGAAAAAGAAAAACACCGAACACATGGGTGATCAGAGCTCCCATGGGTGATCAGAGCTCCCATCAACGACGACTAAAAGATAAGCAAAGAAGAATTCAGCAGTTTACAGATAACCTTTTCAATTCACTTGCAAAAAACAGATTTAGTGCCTAAAAAAAATCATAAACATTTTAAAAGGTGCTGTATTTAGATTTAGGCTTTTAATCTAATCAACCTGAAAGTTTCTCTCAGGATGAAAGTTCTCTTTGGTATACATAGACATACTGCAGAAAAGTGAAAAAGGGAAAAAAATCTCTAAATGACTGATTATATTCTCATCTAAGCTCTACAGTACATATGTTTTAGCAGCAAAACTTTTGCTGCTTTAGTTAGCATTACATCATCACTTTAGAAAGTAATGCTGCTTTAAAATTCATCTCTTTTTTTCATTCACTTTTTTTTCTGGCTATGAATAAAGATTTCTACTCTAAATCTGAGTGTAAAGTTTCTTCTGAAGATTTCATTCAAAATGCTTAAAGTGCTTTACCATGTTGAAGTTTGTATGAAAACCAAAATACATTTCTAAAACTCACAAAGCTTGGCTCCTTATTCAGGCAGGCCTCAACAAATTCTTTGAGGGATTTGCTGAAGTTTCCTTCCAACGTTGGTGGATTGTTCTTTGGAATGAGGAATAAAACCTTCATTGGATGCAACTCTGAATGAGGTGGTTCTCCTTTTGCAAGTTCTATGGCTGTTATACCTAATGACCAGATATCCGCCTGTAACATAAATAATCTTTACAGATATATGAGGTGGAGTTGGGGGAAGAGAAAGAAATTTATCTAGTCAAATACTGCTTTCAAACCTTTTTATAGCAGACTGACAAAAATAAAATCACATACACACAAATAAATCTGTAGGTTATACTGTACCTGCTTCCAAGGTACATTTTGTGTTTTCTAGCACAGATCAGAGTACTGTATTTATTCAAACCGAAGACCAGTCCAGAGTTGGAGTAGCAATTGCTAACCCGCCCACAGCATCTACCTCCCCAGCCTCTGCTTCTCCCATACCTCTGCTACCTGCAGCCAGCCCCCTGCTACTGCCTCTCCACCACTACTTATCTTCTCATCCCAGCTGCAGTTGGAGCTGGAGCCCTGTTCCAGGCCAGGGCCTGAAACATATGATGCCTCTGGCCTCAATCTGGTCATGCAGTAACAGCAGCTCTGGACACCTGTGGGTCTGGGGCTGCCACAACTGTTGCTGCATGGCTGGGCAGTGGCTAGAGACAGCATGTGCTCTATGTTCTGTGTCCCAGGGTGGAGCAGGGCCCCAATCAGAACCGGAGCTACAATAGGAAGGCAAGCAGTGGCACCTGGGGGGGAGGGGGGGAGGCAGAGGGGGAGCCAAGCAGGAGGACAAGGGCAGGCAAGTGGTGGAGAGGGGACAAGTGGCAAGGCATAAGGTGCAAGGGGGGCTGGGCAGGACAGGGGTTGTGGCAGGTGCTAGGGAATATGGGCACTGAAGGGGGACAAGCAGCAGGTGGGGCAAGTGACATGGGGACAGTAAGCAAGGGGCAGAGATGAGGCCACTTGACTCCTCTGCAGCTTGCTGCCCCTCTGCCCTCAACTGCTTGCCTCACTGCCATGGGGGGGCCAATGCATTTAAAAACACAACCCTCCAAAAATTATATTCTAAATTTTAACAAATTATGCATTTTCCATATCTAGAATCTAATGATTTGGGGGTTGTCTTAAATTCAAACTAGTCTTTGATGAGGGTAAATACGGTAGTTTGAACAAAACACAAAATTATGTCTAATTTTATGTTTTCTGGGGTTTTTTAATGAAAATATGGTAGAGTCAACCTCTTCATTGGAACTGTGTTCCTACTCTTCATGTAATACATAAAAGCACAACATACTGAAATCACTGAAGTCACTGAATAGTCTTTTACTTAAAACTACTGCATTACAACTGATGTTTCCTATATGTGACACCAGAATTGATTCAAGTTAGAGAATATATCACATGGACCAAATTGATTGATTTTGGAACACCATCCTTTAAAAGAGCAAAGATGTGATGGTTGCGCCTAAGTACTACAGAGCTGAATTTCATTTTATGTTATGGTTAATAAGAGTTAAGCTTGTAATGTGGCATTTTGTGGCAATTATATTCCCATGGAAATTTTTTATGATATTGTCTCAAGTTAAGAGTCACAGCAAAACAAAAATCTTTATATAGTTATCCAGGCAAGATGCTATTCAATGCAAACCCCATAATATAAACACAAGTTGTGACATGATAGATCCATAATCACAAGCACAAAACTGATAACGCAACCACATGAAAGAGTCCACTTCTAATATTAACACCAATGTATTTACTACCACTGTTTCGGAAATAATTAGATTCAACTTGCACCATTCCCTGAAGATTAAGAGAAGCCAGACCCAGACTACAGAGAAGCGGAAGTGAGTGCAGAGTCAAGGATCCCTGACAGCAGACACGATTCTCCAGCTTCTCAAGTTAGGGGACTGCAAGACTACTTGCAGACAGCCTGGCTTCACTCAAAATGGTTCCAGTCAGGATTGAACACACAGGTCAAGACAACAATTTAAAGTATTATTCAGAAACTAATCCTAAGTGAAACTCTCAAAAAACTAGTGTACAATATTCTATATGTATACAATACTACTTAAAACACAGCTTACCTAACTTTCAAAAAAGGACTTGGAAAAATTGCCATGATGGGAAAAATGACTAACAGTTAAACTGCAGGATTACTGCCTCACAACAATTTACATATTAAAATGTGCTTAGTCTACAGGTTTTTAATGTTTTTCTTATCCCCAGATCTACAAATTCAACCTTATCATTGTATGAAGAATAGATTATGATCATCAATAACAACTACAATACCATGGGGCCTCCCAGACACAAGCTTCAGTGAAAACAGAATACTGCCTTCATACCTAAATACTACCGTTAAGAATTCTACACAGGGACAAGGCGGCATGGGATGCTGAATGCAAAAATGAAGTTTATTTCCTACCTACGGGGACTTTTTACCATCTTGTACCATCTACACTTTTCCCAGAGCCTGACGAAGGGACTTTGATCCCGAAAGCTTGCAGAAAAGGACAATTTTCTTGCCATTTTCTAGTTGGTCTAATAAAAGGTATCATTTTGGAACCAAGAGTTCTAGTTTTTTTGTATGTCTGGGATGCTGACGACACTTCCACATCCAAGAACCAACACAGTGAATGGTGGTACAAACAAGTTTTAAAAAGTGATGTATTTTCTCACAAATAATACAAACCTTTTCCCCTAAAATCATACCTGCAAAACTGGGATGCATATAGTAAGTGGGGAAGCTGATTTTCTGCCCAGGATAAAAGCACCCTGCTTTGATTCTTGCTCCACAGTGCCGCAGCTGTGGCACTACTATCCAGGTGGCTGAGGGAGTTACTCGACTTAATGGCTTATTGTTCTTCACTAAACAGAGGGATGTTAATCATCTCTCCTTTTTAATCGTCTTAGTGTTCCACTAACCAAGTTAACTGTTCTTAGGGCAATTTTGTTGTCTGCTAGCTGCTCCAGTATTTTTCCTTCTATTTCACAGGTTTGGACTCAGTTCATGAAAGATTAACCAAAAAAATCATTTAACCAATATAACCAGTAATAACTGGTTATGCTTACAAGTTATTCTTTAGCACAGGAATGGGCACTGTCTGGCAAGGAAAGAAGGAAAGGGAAGTCGCTCAGTGCCCCAGTAAGAATAGGAAGGCAGCAGGAAGGAAGGGAAGGAGGAAGAGGGGAAGAGGAAGGGAACGGTATTTACATCCCTAGTTTGAAGACTCTTTAGTCCCATTCAAAATCATAAGTCCAACCATAGAGATCAGTTTTCAGCAGCAAAAAGGGTTTCAGCTTTAGGTGAGAAGTAAAGGGAAAAAGCCTGAAGATTAGGCTTTGTCTCTGCCTTTGAGGTAACCGGCACAGAGTAGCCAAAACTCTGGAAAAATGCCTTTCCAAACAGTGCACATATATTTAGGGGTAAGTTATATATGTGAGAAAATATGATAAATTGCAGTTGCTGAAGTCAATACTATTACTTGAATATGTACCAATAGTTTAAGCACAGTTAAGCCTTTTTTGCCACTTTTTAGAGTGAAGACCATTACCATCTAGTCTTGCATATACTCCTGTGACACTTGAAACAGAGCGCTGAAGTATCCTGGGGTAGCATGAGATCCTTTGAAGGATGCTTTAGTGTGACATGCCATACTAGCACTATTAGGTGTACAAACAGTTGTACAAGATTTGCAAGATAAAGCCAGAGATTTCAGACAGAAATCCATATAGTCAAAAACACTTTTGATCTTACTCGGTTCTTTCCAAAATTGCTCTATTTTTCCATACTCAAAAATGAATACATTTAGCAAACCCTTCATTTCAAAAATTAAAACTTAGAAGTTATGGAGGGATACCCCAAGTCTAAAAAGGCTAGGAACCGCTGGTGTTTTCAATTATTTTCAAGGTGACAAAGGCAAGTGACTGAGGTAAGGGACAAGCATTTAATTCTAGCTCTGCAAATTTCTGGGAAATATGCATTGTACAAAAATGTAGCAAGTGGGACATACAAAATGTTACAGCCTCCCCCTGGCTAGACAGCAACAAAATTACCCCAAAGGCAAACTCTCCAGCCAAGGGGCAACAGGGAGCTGCTTCTCTGCTCCCCTGCTCTGCCCCCCACCATGAAAGACAGGTTGTCTCCAACTGATGTTACATGAACATCAGCTAAAGATAATAATAAGCAGGGATCACAATTGGCTGTTTAAAAATCCAAAATTCTGTGATAAAGAATCCAAAATCTGTGTTTTTCCATGATTTAAATGAAACACCATTACATATACAAGTATGACTTGAACACAATGTTTTATTGATATATTTATAGTTTTAAAGCAATGTGGAAGCGTAATACTGCCTCAATCATTATAATAAAATAAATCCTTATTACCTATATATTTTAGCATTTGATTTTGTGTTTTTGTTTATTGTGGACTATCAGAACTCCCCATGCCTCCTCCTCTCACCAGGATGTGTCCAGCTGCAGCTGTCACCCTGCTACTTTAGGGTGCTGAGTAGCCTTGATATGCTGGTGCCCCTCACTCCCAATGCACAGCCCCCGAACCCCAGAGCCTTGGTGGTGCCTCTCACTCCTGACCTGCTGCCCCCTAGGCCACAGCCCCTCAGTATGCGGGGTGAGGGGGGTGGCCTGTGGGGCAGGGGGGGCAGTTCAAACCATAGGCAACATGTCGGGGGGCACAGGAGGGCACATGCTGCCTCAGATTTGTGCACCCGCAGTGGGCATGGGGCTGTAAGTCTGGCCAAACTGGCATGGGCAGGTGTTGCCTCTGTGGTCTAGCAGGTGAGACCCAGCATGAGAGGGCAGAGCAGGGTGGCAAGACTAGTTGCTGCTGCTACCACCAGGACCCCTGCGGCAGCTGTGGTGCCAGCAGCATGAAAAGTAATTGACCGGGGTGGGGGGTCAGGAATGTGCTGCCCTTAACTCCTCTCACCACCAGCTGCTGTGGGATACTGTGTCCATATACAGAGATTACACACAGTGCCAGAAAACTTCCTGGTAAAGGGAAGTTGCTTTTTGAGAGCTGGTAGTTTGACAGAACCACAAGGTTTCTTTTACTCGATTGTTCCATATCCTTAGCACCACATCTGACCAACGTGGATCAAGAGACTTGATATTTTTTATACTA